GGGGGGGGGCGGGGGGGGCACCACCCAGCCACTGGGCATGAGGGGGATGTGCGGGGGAGGGGGAGGGGGGGGGGGCCTGGACGAGCTGTTGACTGCTGTCTGTCAGTGCGTGTGCAGAGCACGCTCTAGCCACGTCATCCCAGTCTTTGCCTTCCCGGTTCTTTGCCTCTCTTGGTTGGTGGCCAGGGCTTGCAGATCGCAGTGAATTTTTCCTGGGGAACCTCCCTGTTTCGTCCTAGAGTGGACATGTGGCTTATGCCCAGTGGCTGGGTGGTGGTCTGCCTGCCTTTAATGGTATTTTCTTCCTCAGAGCAGAAGAGCTGCATTTTGCTTATCGGGAAAAGGTGCAGCTTTAAGGGAGTTTGTTGTTGTTTTGTTTTCTTTTTTGGGCGGCATGTAATTGGCAGGCCAGGTGTCCTGGTTCCAGGTTCTAGCCAGGCTTTTGGTTGCCCCTCCCATCTCCGCCTCTCACCCCTCTGGATTTTGCATACAGTCTAGTGCAGTGCAAAGAAGGATGTGACTTGCTTGGCTTAGTCATGTGATTTCTAAACAAACAAACAAAAAACAAAACCCACAAAACGATGATCTTCTACTCAGGGTAAAACAAAACAAAAATCCCCCTTCCACCAAAAAGCCTGAAACGTTGCAATAAGTTATCTCATTTGGAATGTTTCATTAAGTTGTGTTATAGGAAAAAAATTTTTTTTTGATTTGTGTATAGAATTATATCCATCTGTCTGCCTTTGGCTCTAAGTCATTGCCTCTTTAAAATAAAACCTAAAATCCAGTTCACACTAAAATGGAAGGTTTCTCTCAACTGGCTATATTAACGTAGTCATGAGTGCTCATTCACCAAGCTCACTGAGCTCAGAAATGAGGTCTGACCCAGGGTCTAGACTAGGCCTCTGCCTCCAAGAGCCCGTTCCCTGCCTTGAGCAAGGAAAAGGGATCCACGAACACAGCTGCTCTCCTGAGTCAACAGTGTCAGCCAGAACACAGCCATAATTTTGTCGTCTTCTTCCATTCCCTAGCGTACAGAGATCTGCATGTGTCACTCTTGTGTTCTCTGAGCTATTACTCAGGGCCAGCCAAGACAGTATCCAGAGCTGATCATTTACCTGGGGGCCCAGAGGCCCTGCCTTTGACAGAATTTCAGGGACAGAGTTGGACGGGAAGGCAGAGGTAGTAAATGTTGTTACTGCCATGAGAAAAGGACTTTCCCTCAGGCAGCTGGTGGTTTCTCATTCCAGGAGTTTAGTCCAGAGAATCCATTTCTTCTTGACCTTCTGCACTCCCCTCCCCCAAAGGCTGGTGGGTTCTGGTGACCACTGACTTCAGCAGAAGTTGATAAGGGGGAAGGAATCTTCTATTACCACAGTGGCTTAGTCTTCCTGGAAAACTAGTTGCTGAGTGTGGGTTATCCATGGCTGTCTCTGGGTCTTGTACCCATAGGAAGCTTTGAGGCTGTTTTCGCTACAACTTCAGACAGAGCAACGCGACAGGGTCCCAAAGATAGCTCATATCAGAGGGCACAAATGACCTCCCCACATACCCAGTCTAGGGGCACCTGGGATTCGGTTCCCTGGGAGCTGAGGTGGGAAACGGGAGCCCAGGGAAGGTCATTGGAAGTGTCCGTGGTTTCATGATTGCTTCTTTCTAGCTAGCCAGAGCTGTGCTCCTCTTGGGCCTAGCGAGGTCATTGGCTTTTCTGCTCTCCAAAGATTGGGGGTGATGAAGAAGCATCTTTAAACAGTATTTAGGCTGGCAGATTTATCTAGTTGAAGTATCTGCCTTTTGAGGGTGACTCAAAATTACAAGGGGACTATCAGAGCCAATTAGCTTTTGAAAAATCAGGAATGTGCTTAAAATGCTAGTGAGCGGTTGTGAAGAGCAGGTTTTTTCCATGGGACAGGCAGTCTTTCCTTCCTCTTCCAGAGCTCTCTCCCTCCCATCGCCTCCTGCAAAGCCTGGCCTCTGGTGCCAGGAACCTTCCGGGGGGAGCAGGCTACTGGCTACAGTGGAGCTAGAGCGAGCCTTCATGGAGAATGTGCTGTCCCAAACCCAGGAATGACCCTGTGGTGAAGTTAGGGAAGAGCTGCAGACTTCGGGCAGGTAAAATCAAGCCTTTTTTCTAACCATGGTAACCTTAGCCATTTCCACCTGGTAGGTGTATGCTTCCAGCCCCTGCTGGCATCTCCAGCTCCCCAACCCCTTTACAGGGTGTCATCAGCACCAGGGACTGGAGTTCATGGACTTAGGAAGCGGTAGGAGACCAGCTGGCACCCTCAAGCTGCCTTAGTGATGTGGGCCTTTCCCCAGCAGGTGGCTGGGACATCGAGGGAGAATGGCCCTGCCTATCCTTGGGGGGGGGCTGGGGGGGGGGAGAGGAATCTGGTCAGCCTCAAGGGGGCATCGCTTGTTTGGTGACAAGAGTTGGTGTCATTTATTAAATTCCACTCCTTTCCCCTTAGAAGGAGATCATGGTACAAAGCCCAGGAGGGGCCTTAAGGCGTGACGACCTCTCTGTGTAGAAGCCAGGGACTTCTCTCCACCAGCTCTGGGAAAGTCAGTAGATGGAGTTTCACCTTCAGGGTCAAGGCAGTGGGCTGATGGGGATCATGGAGGGTGTGGGTGGGTTTTCCTGAGAGACTTTGTATAATGCTGAATGTGTCCAGAGGGATGAGTTTGCAGAACCTCATATTGGTATATTAAAGAAATAATAAAATAAAAAAGCACTTTAGGTTATTTTATCTTTAACCCAATTGCTGCAATTTCTTTTGTGTATATATATACATATATATACTTTCCACAAAGTTTTATTTTTTGCTCAGAATAAAAATTTAAATTGAGGTGTGAAAAGAAAAGCACTTACCTTGGTGCAATATATGTAGCTTGACGGTCGTTGTCCCATGTGGCCCTGGCCTGGCCGCGTTTTTCCGCTCTGATCAGCCCTGTGCTGTGAGGCTGTCCATAGGGAAACACTATTATGCATTCTCAGCAACTGCTTCAATCTATGCAAGCCTTCCCTGTGTGCCCAAGGGCGCCCCCTCAGGCTCTCTGAAGAACTGCTGCGGGTCCTATTTTCTTCTGCTGACTGTTGAGGCCCTTTCTCATCACTTCTTGGTCCCTTGCCATCTTGCCCCACCTTCACCATTACAAAGTGATGCCTGAAAGGAAGGAACAGGTTGTTCCTAGTAGACACCTGGCACCTTCTAGACTTTTCTATTTGTAATCACGTTCATTGTCCTTAATCTTAAAGACTTCTCCAAAGTCACTGAAACCATTGATTTGTGGAACTGCAACAGTATTGCTAGAGTTAACATTTTCCTCCACCACCAATCAGAAACATGTCTGGGAGGTTGTGGTGGTAATGGGGGAGCGGGCAACATGAGCCATTTTCCTACTGCTCCCCTCACCACCCGCGTTGGTTCTTTAAGAAAAAAGGTCTCCAGCCTTCATTAAATCCAGTAAACAAAGCTGTTAATAATCTGCTTTTTTGACTTTCTTCCTTCCCCCATATTTCCCTTTTGTCGGGGGGGGGAGTACCCCCCCATTTTATCTTCAATTCTCAGGCTACAGTAGAATAGAGAAGTTTTGACATAACACTTCAGCCAAAGCCGAAGGATTTCCACAGATCAGTATGCAAATGGGCCTGCTGTGACATTAGATGGGAAGTTGTCCATTCCCTAATATTGGGGTGGGGGTGGGGGCGGGGGCGGGGGGAGGCAACAAAACGGAATTTTGCATATTTCTGGTTGGTAGTCAGTTTAGCCTGTTTCCTCTTGCATAGTTTTGGGGGACAGGGAGAGTCCTGTGTTTCCTCTCATGCACCTTGGGGAAGCTGATGATCACTGTTGGGGCATTTCTCACTGTTACTCCTGTTCCAGAGGGCTTCTCAGTCTGCACTGAAAAATACAAATTAAACTGGATCTTAACGTCAATGTGTACATAGTACAAGCTTTTTTTACTGGAAGCAAAGTTTAAAACCACACACTGCCCTTTTGGTGGTGTGCCTGCTGGGCCAAAAATTGGGTGATAATGTAGTGTCACTTTCTCAGCTCAATGCAGTTTCTACTCTTTTTCTTATGGGAAAATTTTTCATAAAACCTTTTTCACCAAAACCCAGGGGTGTTTTTTGCAATATCCTTGTTATCCTCATAGTGGTGCCAAGTCAGAGGCCTCTCTTGCCCTTCTCCCACGTCCTTAGGCCTCCCTGAGGCGCCTTTGGTTCAACAGTCTACATCCTTTGTTGTGTTTTGGAGAATGTGGGGGTGGAGGGTCAGAGTTCAAGGTGGCTGTTCCCTTTCCCTGTCAACTCTTCCAAGTCCCTTTTTGGGGAAGGTGGCTGGAAACAGGATTTTGCTGAATCCCTGGCTCACATCTGGCCAGGAAAGGCAAGACCCACAGAGAGCCTTCTTTTTTTGACACACACTAGTAGTCATTGGCCAGAGGTCTTGGTGACAGTTTTTTAAATCTCAAATGGTTTTATTTGGATTATGTGAAAGCCTATCAAAGTTATTGAAGTGTGAAACATGGGAACAACGGACTTCCACCGAGCGATATGAAAACGTTACAGGTTCAGTACTTCCAAAGGAAGAAACCTCCAAACCCAAAAAAGAGTAAATATGAATTTGTATTTTTGAAGAATGTGAAATAATGGTGTTTGCTTAATTGCTCATTTTGTATAAACTTAATATTGTACTTTAAAATATCTGCTAAGAAGTGAAAATTTAACTTTTTGGAATTGAAAAAGCAATATTAAATACTAATGAAATCCTAATTAAATGCTTATTTAAATCTGGTAGTATCTGTGGCATTTCTTCCCAAACCTACCCATGGTTGATGATTTTCCTCTGCTTACCACCCTCTCCCCTCCCCAGCTGAGTCTTGGGGGACAGAAAGGAAAGGTCGGTCACCAGGAAGAGTCTGCAGGTTTCCTTTTAATCAAGGCTCTGCTAAAAGTGTTTTGTGGGGCTAGGAGCCCCCAAAGCATGAAATGGACATGTAACACCACCTGGATCCCCCAAAGCAGGCCAGACCACTCTGGAGAGCACTGCTGATCTGCCCAAATCCGGGTAATCAGACAGGGTATTCGTTGGCTACATTTCAAAGCTCAGCACTGCCTTCAGCCAGGATGAAGTGGGAGTGAACCCAGCTGCTAGCAGAGCTGCCACCCCAGGCTGAGAGCCAAGTACCAGCCACTGCCAGTGAAGACTGGCCCCTTTATTGAAGGGAGTTGTTCAGAGTTCAGCCACCAGCCCCGGGAGGGAGAGAAGTCAGGGCGCCCATCAGGGATGCTCAGGGCTCCGCAGCTCCATCGCCAGCATCCTTTGGAAAGCCACCTCTGGCGGAGACAGCTGGCTGGGGAGGTGCTCCGGGTTTGGCTGAGACGTTCTGGTTGGAACAGAAAGGAAAAGTGAGGCTGGGAGGAAAGGCCTTGGATTAGGCCCCGCAAGGACATGGCCACTTGGCATTTGGATAGCACAACTTTTTCAAAGCCTCTCGCCCAGATGATAGGAGGTTCGGGGGTAAGGCGGTGGGGACACTCTTCCACCCTCCAGGGGAAGCTAGGGCTTAGCAAGTCCAGCCACGGGGCAGTTCCCACCTCCCAGGCCCAGCCCGGGGTGGGCACTGACCCCGCCACCAGCCGGCTCCGGGCGCCGGCGGCCCAGCTGCCGCAGCATCTCCTCGCAGGCGGCGATGGTGTCCAGGAGCTGCCGCTGCCGCTGCTCCACCGCGTCCAGCAGCTGCTGGGCGCGCTCATCCCGGGGCGGCTGCGGGGGTGGCCTCCCGCCGAGCCCCAGCCCCGCCTTCCCACGGTCCACGCCGGCAGCCTCCCTGCCCGGGAGAGAGCGAGAGACACACGGTCAGGGCCGGCGCTCGCGCGGGGTCCGAGCCCCTTCCCCCCGCCCCGACGGGCCCCCTCTCACCCCCGTGACCAGTCTGAGCCCGGGCCCCATTCCATCTCCGCCTGCGCGGCCCGACCACCGCCCCCCTTTCGGCCGCCCTCCTCCCCAGCGCTGCGCTAGGGCTCCGCAAAGCTGCGCCCCGCCCCGTCCCCACCGGTCTCCTTCAATCCTCCTGGGGGTCGCGGTCCCTTTAAGTTGCCCGGCGCGGAGGTGGGGCCGAGCCTCCCCGGCCGGAAGCTGACTGGGCGCGTCACTTCCTCCCGGAAGCGGGCCCTGGCGGATGTCTCCGGCGCGTCCGTGCAGGGGGCTGAGGGCCGCGGTGGCTGCCAGCGTGGGGTTGAGCGAGGGGTCGGCGGGCTCCGCCCGGAGGGGCCGCCTCCTCCGCCCGCCGATCCCCGCTCCGGCGGCGCCGGGGGCCCGGCTGTTCCGGCTCCCAGGGAGCGGGGCCGTGCGGGCCGCAAGCCCGGAGCGCGCCGGCTGGACCGAGGCGCTGCGGGCCGCCGTGGCCGAGCTGCGCGCCGGCGCCGTGGTGGCCGTCCCCACCGACACGCTGTACGGCCTGGCCTGCTCGGCGAGCTGCTCTGCGGCACTGGGCGATGTGTACCGCCTCAAGGGCCGCAGCGAGGCCAAGCCGCTGGCCGTCTGCCTGGGCCGCGTGGCCGACGTCTACAGGTGAGGCCGCCCCGACCCGGCCCCGCTGGGGGCGGCACCGCGGGAGGGGCTTCCGGTGACAGGCTTGGGAGACTGAGGCGCAGAGAGCGGGAGGGGCTTGTCCAGGCTCACCCAGGAATCCGGAACTGGAAATGTGTATCGAGCACTTCACGTCTTCCAGTCCCTGAGAGAGGTGCTGGGGCTCAGCGATGAACGAGGCAGGCAGGGTCCCTATCCTCCCGGCGATTATGTGATGATGAGGGGAGGGGGTCGGGACTCCCACGGTTTAAAAACGGCAACAAAGGAAACGAACGCTATGGGGATGCCTGGAAGAAAATGAAACACCGAGCGTGATAACGGTGCAGCTGTTGTAGTCCCGGAGACCAGAGGCATGTGGGCTCCAAGCCGTGGGTGTTCCTCTGGAGCACTGCCTTCTCAAACTCTTAGGGAGGTGAAGAGGGAAGACAGATCCCATTGTAGTCCCAGGTTCCCCTTTTCTAGATCTGTCTACCGTCTGGAATAGGACCAGCAGAGACCCTTCATTCTTGGGTAGATTTGTGCCATCTCTGTTTTTCAGGTACTGCCATGTGAGGGTACCTGAGGGACTCCTGAAAGACTTACTACCAGGACCAGTGACCCTGGTGTTGGAACGGTCGGAGGAGCTCAATAAGGACCTGAATCCCTTTACTCCTGTGAGTCAGAGTTTCTCCTGTGTCCCCAGACTTCTGCCATCTGGCTTTAACTAGGATCCATGCGAGAGCCGTTCCCTATCCCTTCCAACCTTTCTGACTATCTTCTTTTCCCTTGCCTCATAGCTTGTAGGTATCCGGATTCCTGATCATGCCTTCATGCAGGATTTGGTCCAGGTGTTCGGGGGACCACTCGCTCTCACCAGTGCCAACCTGAGCTCCCAGGCCAGTTCTCTGAATGTGGAGGTAAGTTACCCAGCCCTCCCCGCAGAAACATCACCAGGCCAGACACAGTTTCCTCTGAATCAGTAGGGTTGACGGTTCACCGGAACGCCTTGCAGGAGTTTCATCCATTTAGTCTGATGATGGGAGGTCTGTCCGGTTGGCAGGGGTGGGATAGCATGGTGGGGGGATCCAAATTAAAGAATCTTGGAAAGGTTTAATTGAAAAGCTTGAGAAGAATTGGTGTTTTCTTCTTGTTGTCTTTATATAATAATAAGGAATGCCACGGTGAATCTAATTCTTTCCTTCTTTTTGTGGTGGTAGCTGTTGGAAAGTATAGTCAGGTATTATCTTTACAACGGTGCTATAAAGACAGTTAAGGCTCCAAAAAGTTAAATCACTTGGCCCAGGGACTCCTGACTCTGTTCTCTTCCCTGGCCACTAGCCAGGTCAAAGAATCCATCCTAATTCTGCCTTGACTGCATAGCTTGGAACCAATGACAACAAAAGAAATGACAGTTACAGGGGTGCCTGGGTGGCTCAACTGGTTAAACGTCTGCCTTTGGCTCAGGTTCTGATCCCAGGGTCCTGGGATCTAGCCCCACATCAGGCTCCCTGTTGGGGAGCCTCCTTCTCCCTCTCCTTCTGCTTGCCACTATCCCTGCTGTGTGCACGTGAGCTCGCTCTCTCAAATAAATAAATAAAATCTTAAAAAAGAAAAGAAAAAGAAAAAGATGTCACTTACCACTTTTCTTCTTCCTGAACTTAAATGTAAAACACAGCACAGTGATGGGGTTTTCCATGTCCAGACCTAGAGAGTGGCTTCAGGGGCCTTAGAAACTGAGAGTCCAGCATCCTGTCTTATTCCGGGACTGCAAGCTTTACCTGGTGGCTATGCCTGAGGCAGTGGCGATGGGGGTGGGGGTGTTCTTGTCAGCAAACAAGTACCAGTACAGTAACTGGTGGTTACGCTCCTCCATCCCAAATGCCCAGGCTTAGCCACCACTGCAGGGTTTTCGTGAGTGGTGGTGGCGGGGACAGTGGGTGATGCTCTAAGCCAGTTAACAGTTCAGACCACGAATTTCGGAGGGGCTATCCTTCCCACAACCCAAGGATTGAGAGCTGGTATCACGCATGTGCAGAATGCACCCTGCCTTCATCTCCCTGACCTTACCCAGAGTTCTCCTGAGAGCCAGGAGATGTGCTGAATGACGTAACTTGTGTGCACTGACTCAGAAGTTTGGGCGAAAGTTCAGGGTGAAAGCCTACATCTTTGGACATCCACCTAGACCTCCAGTCATCGGACCTGTATGTCCCTAACAGAAGCCCTGTGTGCAGGCTCCTCTTGGCACAGTGAGGTTTTTTTTTTTTAAAGCTCTAGATAGGTGTTCCTTGAAGTGCTAACCTGTGGCAGCTCCACACCCCATAGGATGCCATGTCCTAGATGAAGGAGGTTAACTGAAGGAGGTTGCTTCCCTGCTTAGAGGAAGATGCCTCCTGTTTTAGACGTGTGCAGGCTTCGTCTCCTTGTGCACGTTGCATGCACAGTGACATCATTGTGGATGCCAGAGGTGGTGTCCATGATCTTCCTCTCCCTCTTCTCAGGAGTTCCAGGACCTTTGGCCTCAGTTGTCCCTGGTCATTGATGGGGGACCAATTGGGAAAGGCCAGAGCCCTGAGTATCGCCTGGGCTCAACGGTGGTTGATTTGTCTGTACCTGGAAAGTTTGGCATCATTCGTGCAGGCTGGTGAGTCTGCTACGGCGTCGGGAAAGAACTCGAGGAAGGTTGGAAGGTGGGGAAACAAAAGGCCTTAATAAAATAAGGATTGGCACTCCTGTCTTGTCCTGGGTGGGGTGGGCAGGTTTGGAGAAGTGGTGGATGGACTGAGTTTGCTGGCATTTGCTGGCTTTTTGAGGATTCACAGGATTCATCACAGGATTCATCACAGGTTTGGCGACAAGAGCATATTTAAGACCTGAGGGTTTAGAGGCCACTGATCAGCAGACTCTGGTGGGCTCGGGGCTTTGAGAAGTCAGACTTTAACTGCCCTCCATTTTTCTTTCTCAGTGCCCTGGAGAGTACCACAGCCATCCTCCAACAGAAGTACGGGCTCCTCCCCTCACACTGATCCTGCTTTTGCATCTTGGGTAGGGGGAAGACCCAAGGACTGGTGCTGGACACTATGTGTCTATCCACTGGGGACTGGCACGGCCTTATTGAGAGAGGCCACTGGGGCTGCGGCGTCACTAGTCCTGACTCTTGAAGGCACTGTGTCTTTCTGAATACTGCACACCAAGTCCCAGAAGCTGCTGGTTTCGTCTAACACCTGGTGGGGGAGGTCCTATTTATTATCTGTGATTTCATGTATCAGCCAAAAGCTGACTTAGAGATTTTGTTTGAGAACATTCCTTGGATGGCCTTGTTCTGATAAGTTTCTTTTTTAAAAAAATTTTTTTGAGAAGTAATTTGAGGAACAGATATGGAATCCAGTCAGAGCCCCCTCTCTGGCAGGTAGTGGCATTTAAGGTCCAAATCAGCCAGAGCACCAGCTGGTGCTGTTAAGTCTCCAGTGACCAAAGACATGTACTTAGGCACCTGAAGCTGGACCTAGAGTAGGATAAAGACTGTTGAGCCACAGGCCCGACACTGTTTTCTCCAAACCGGAGAGGCCGGTGGTGTGGTGTGCCTTAAGGCCTGGTGGAGAGAGTCAGCATTCTGGACTAATCGGTGGGAAGTGAGCTCAGTTGGCAGGGGGCGGGGCTGGGGAAGGCCAAATCAAAAGAATATGGGAAAACAAATCTTCACTACTCTTTTCAGCCAGTGGCTTTTTTTCTTATTTATTCATAAAATAAACAATAATGAGTTATGCCTACAATACCTTTATTGAATCCGGTATGTACTCAGAGCCTTTATTCATATGTATGCCAAGTGTTAAACAGAATTATTCTCGGTTATTTGAACCTTGTTTTTCTTTAATAGAAAATGTTTTGTAAATAGTTTATTTTTCTTCTTTTGAATTATTTCCTCAGGGATTAGGATTATAGCGTTAAAGTGTATGAACATCTTTATGGCTCTCACTACAGATTAGTCTTTGAAAGAACTGACCAGACTGTAATGAATGAGAATTACTGCTCCTGACCCTGAGCTTGCCATATTTTTAGTATTTTTCAAACCGTGTGAGTGTGAAATGAAGCCTTGGTGTTTCTTGTTTCTGTGAAGTACTGCAGGGCACCGTGCAGCACTGTGCTCCTGTCCTGATCTGCCCTGTCCACCATGGCATCCAGTGCCCATTACCTCACGGGAGCTGGGGGTCCCATGGTAATCCGTAGGCCCCATTTCCTCCCCTCCTGCCTTGCACCCTGGTCCCACAAGTGGGATTCAAGCTTGAGCCTATAAAGTAATGCACATATTTCCAAGTAGCTCCTAAATCTTGCCAAGAAGGTGTTCCAGGACCTGCCCTGAGGGCCCCCACAATGAGTAGATTCATTTATTTGTAAATAAGCACTGTTAAATGTCCCCTCTAAAAATCTTCTTTATACTCCTGGTTTCTTAAGCAAACTCACTCTTCATTGTGCTGACACTGGCCAGCCCATCTCATGTGTCTGTCACAGCATTTGAGGGAGGGCTCAGAGTTCAGGAAGGCCTGAA